CCTTGAAGAGGTCCCTTACGTTCCTTGTGAGTTGTATTCCTAGGTATTTTATTCTTTTTGTAGCAATTGTGAATGGCAGTTCGTTCTTGATTTGGCTTTCTTTAAGTCTGTTATTGGTGGAGAGGAATGCTTGTGATTTTTGCACATTGATTTTTTATCCTGAGACTTTGCTGAAGTTGCTTATCAGTTTCAGGAGTTTTTGGGCTGAGGTGATGGCGTCTTCTAGGTATACTATCATGTCGTCTGCAAATAGAGACTATTTGGCTTCCACCTTTCGTATTTGAATGCCCTTTATTTCTTTTTCTTGCCTGATTGCTCTGGCTAGAACTTCCAGTACTATATTGAATAGGAGTGGTGAAAGAGGGCATCCTTGTCTAGTGCCGGATTTCAAAGGGAATGCTTCCAGTTTTTGCCCATTCAGTATGATATTGGCTGTTGATTTGTCATAAATAGCTTTTATTACTTTGAGATACATTCCATCAATACCGAGTTTGTTGAGGGTTTTTAGCATAAAGGGCTGTTGAATTTTGTTGAATGCCTTCTGTGCGTCAATTGAGATAATCATGTGGTTTTTGTCTTTGGTTCTGTTTATGTGGTGAATTACAGTTATAGACTTGCGTATGTTGAACCAGCCTTGCATCCCCGGGATGAATCCTACTTGATCATGATGGATAAGTTTTTTGATTTGCTCTTGCAATCGGCTTGCCAATATTTTATTGAAGATTTTTGCATCTATGTTCATCATGGATATTGGCCTGAAGTTTTCTTTTCTTGTTGGGTCTCTGCCGGGTTTTGGTATCAGGATGATGTTCGTCTCATAAAATGATTTGGGAAGGATTCCCTCTAGTTTCAGAAGGAATGGTACCAGTTCCTCTTTGTGTGTCTGGTAGAATTTGGCTGTGAACCCATCTGGACCTGGGCTTTTTTGTGTGTGGTAGGCTCTTAATTGCTGCCTCGACTTCTGACCTTGTTATTGGTCTAGTCATAGTTTCAGCTTCCTCCTGGTTTATGCTTGGGAGGACACAGGAGTCCAGGAATTTATCCATTTCTTCCAGGTTTACTAGGTTATGTTCATAGAGTTGTTTGTAATATTCTCTGTTGATGGTTTGAATTTCTGTGGAATCTGTGGTGATTTCCCCTTTATCATTTTTATTGCATCTATTTGGTTGTTCTCTCTTTTCTTTTTAATCAATCTGGCTAGTGGTCTATTTTGTTGATCTTTTCAAAAAACCAGCTCTTGGATTTATTGATATTTTGAAGGGTTTTTCCTGTCTCTATCTCCTTCAGTTCTGCTCTGATCTTAGTTATTTCTTGTCTTCTGCTGGGTTTTGAGTTTTTTTTATCTTGCTCCTCTAGCTCTTTCAATTTTGACAATAGGGTGTCAATTTTTGATCTCTCCATTCTCCTCATATGGGCACTTATTGCTATATATTTTCCTCTAGAGACTGCTTTAAATGTGTCCCAGAGTTTCTGGCATGTTGTGTCTTCATTCTCATTGGTTTCGAAGAACTTCTTTATTTCGGCCTCCATTTCATTGTTTATCCAGTCAACATTTAAGAGCCAGTTGTTCAGTTTCCATGAAGCTGTGCGGTTCTGGGTTGGTTTCTGAATTCTGAGTTCTAACTTGATTGCACTATGGTCTGAGAGACTGTTTGTTATGATTTCAGTTGTTTTGCATTTGCTGAGCAGTGCTTTACTTCCAATTATGTGGTCAATTTTAGAGTAGGTGTGATGTGGTGCTGAGAAGAATGTATATTCTATGGATTTGGGGTGGAGATTTCTGTAAATGTCTATCAGGTTTGCTTGTTCCAGGTCTGAGTTGAAGTCCTGGATATTTTTGTTGAATTTCTGTCTGGTTGATCTGTCTAATATTGACAATGGAGTGTTAAAGTCTCCCACTATTATTGTGTGGGAGTCTAAGTCTCTTTGTAAGTCATTAAGAACTTGCCTTATGTATCTAGGTGCTCCTGTATTGGGTCCATATATGTTTAGGATCATTAGCTCTTGTTGTATCGATCCTTTTACCATTATGTAATGTCCTTCTTTGTCTCTTTTGATCTTTGTTGCTTTAACGTCTATTTTATCAGAGATGAGAATTGCAACTTCTGCTTTTTCTTGCTCTCCATTTGCTTGGTAAATCTTCTTCCATTCCTTTATTTTGAGCCTTTGTGTATCCTTGCATGTGAGATGGGTTTCCTGGATACAGCACACTGATGGGTTTTGGATTTTTATCCAATTTGTCAGTCTGTGTCTTTTGATTGGTGCATTTAGTCCATTTACATTTAGGGTTAATATTGTTATGTGTGAATTTGATACTGCCATTTTGATGCTAGCTGGCTGTTTTGCCCGTTAGTTGTTGTAGATTCTTCATTATGTTGATGCTCTTTAGCATTTAGTGTGATTTTGGAATGGCTGGTACTGGTTGTTCCTCTCTGTGTGTAGTGCCTCTTTCAGGAGCTCTTGTAAAGCAGGCCTGGTGGTGACAAAATCTCTGAGTACTTGCTTGTTTGCAGAGGATTTTATTCTTCCTTCACTTCTGAAGCTCAGTTTGGCTGGATATGAAATTCTGGGTTGAAAGTTCTTTTCTTTAAGGATGTTGAATATTGGCCCCCATTCTCTTCTGGCTTGTAGAGTTTCTGCCGAGAGATCTGCTGTGAGTCTGATGGGCTTCCCTTTGTGGGTGACCCGACGTTTCTCTCTGGCTGCCCTTAGTATTTTCTCCTTTATTTCAACCTAGTTGAATCTGACGATTATGTGCATTGGGGTTGCTCTTCTTGTGGAATATCTTTGTGGTGTTCTCTGTATTTCCTGCATTTGAGTGTTGACCTGTCTTGCTAGGTGGGGGAAATTTTTCTGTATAATGTCCTGAAGAGTATTTTCCAGCTTGGATTCATTCTCTTCGTCACATTCTGGTACACCTATCAAATGTAGGTTAGGCCTCTTCACATAGTCCCACATTTCTTGAAGACTTTGTTCATTCCTTTTTGCCCGTTTTTCTCTAATCTTGGTTTCTCATTTTATTTCATTGAGTTGATCTTCGACTTCTGATATTCTTTCTTCTGCTTGGTCAATTCGGGTGTTGAAACTTGTGCATGCTTCATGAAGTTCTCGTATTGTGTTTTTCAGCTCCTTCAATTCATTCATATTCCTCTCTAAGGTATCCATTCTTGTTATCATTTCCTCGAATCTTTTTTCAAATCTTTTTTCAAGGTTCTTAGTTTCTTTGCATTGATTTAAAATATGATCTTTTAGCTCACAAAAGTTTCTCATTATCCACCTTCTGAAGTCTAATTCCGCCATTTCATCACAGTCATTCTCCATCCAGCTTTGTTCCCTTGCTGGTGAGGAGTTTTGGTCCTTTGTAGGAGTTGCGGTGTTCTGGTTTCGGGTGTTTTCCTCTTTTTTGCGCTGGTTTCTTCCTATCTTTGTGGATTTATCCACCTGTCGTCTGTGTAGTTGCTGACTTTTCCATTGGGTCTCTGAGTGGACGCCCAGATTGTTGATGATGAAGTATTTCTGTTACTTGGTTTTCCTTCTACCAGTCTAGCCCCTCCACTGTATGACTGCTGAGGTCCACTCCAGGCCCTGCTTTTCTGGGGTGCACCTATAGCAGCTGCGGAACAGTAAGGGATGCTACCAGTTTCTTTTTCTGCTATCTTTGTCCCAGAATGATGCCTGCCAAATGTCAGTCTTCTGGATATAGAGGGGTCAGGGAGCTGCTTGAGGAGATAGTCTGTACTTTATAGGAGCTCAAGTGCTGAGCTGTGAGCTCTGTTGTTCATTCAGGGCTGTTAGGCTGCTACATTTAATTCTGCTGCAACAGAACTCATAAAAAACCCTTTTTTTCTCAGATGCTCTGTCTTGGGGGGGTTGGGGCTTTCTTTGTGCATGTCTGTTGTGCTGTCCTGCCCAGCTAGGAGGCAGTCTAGTCACTATTTGCCTGCCGAGGCTCCGCCCTGCTAGTGTGAGGTTCGCCCTGTTGCTGCAGGCTCTGCCCTTCTGCTGTGGTCTCCGCCCTGCTGCCATGGGCTACACCCTGTGGCGGAGTCTCTCTGTTGTAGCGCGTTGCCTCGGCAATGGCTGGCTGCATCAGCAATGGGTGTGTACCTCAGTAGGGGCGGATTGCCTCGGTAATGGCGGACACCCCTCCCCCACGGAGCTGCACCATACTGGGTTCAGCTGTGCCCTAAGGGAACCTCTCCACCGGGAGCGTTTGGAATCTTCATTTTGTTTGTCCCACTGCGCTACCCCAAGCGCTGTTTTCCTGGAATTTCCTGGGCTGGCTCACTGTCCAAGTCCCATTCAGTCTCAAGTTCAGCCCTCTCAAGTCTCAGACTGCCGGTTCAACAGGGCAACTGGACCAGTGCGCTTTGTGTGGAGTGCTGTGGAGTGCCACTGTGCTACAGCGCTGGCCGCTGGCCGCACCAGCTGCCGGCTGCACCAGCCAAAACCTCTGCCTGGCATCCCACATCTCTTTTGTACCTGGGAATTTCCCCATTCTGTGGGCAACAAAGATCCATGTGGAAATGCGGCCCTGACTCACCCTCTCTGCGCATTCACTGAGAGCTTCAATCCTGGGTTGTTCTCACTGCACCATCTTGAGTCCTCCTCCTTGAGTGATCAATTCTTTCCAACATTTTACAAAAAGATTCAACTTTAGTTTCTTCAATTGTTTTGTCATCTCTTAGCACTCATTCATGTTGTTCAACAAACATCTCTTGAACAACCACCATATTACATGACTGAGGGACTGTATTTTCTAAATAGCTCTTGAGGACACCACTTCTTGGTATCACCTTGGAGTTTGCTACCTATTGAAAATGGTGGTAAGCAGGTAGTGATATTACAGAAGAATCATCCTGCAATACACAGATACGTCTGGTCCAATAAACATCTGAGACAAGATGAACAAGATTTGTGGTGATGAAGGGTCTGGTCAGAAAAGGAGGTGGGTAAAACAGCATCTATTTTGTCACTTTAAGAGTGGGAAGAATTTTGCTAGAACAAGAGATGGTGGGAAAATAAGAAAGGAAAATAGAACATTTTAGGCAAGGAGAATAGTGTGTGTAAAGATGGAGAAGTATAAAGGAAAATGTAGCTCATTCCAGAAACTGCTAAAAGGATCAACATGGTGAGAATATCACAGTAGATAAATATTAGGTTCCAAAGGCATATGAAAAAACAGCTGAGGAAAATGAAACAGAGAAAATTCTACTTGTTAGCAGTTCTCCCCCCTACTCCTATGACCTGAAAAAAATTCAATACTTTCTGAAGCATTTGGATCTACTTAACTGGTGGAACACCAGAATTTCATAAGAGTATATGTAACTAGAACAACTAGTTAGAAGCCAAATTGGCCTTATCTGGTTTGGGAACAAAGTTTAACATAAAATTACATCTATGACTACACCAGGGTTTGGATTGAAGGTGTTACAGGAGATTTGCAGTAAGGATGATAGAATGATAGAGTGGTTGTTAACATATTTTAGAGGATTTGTGCATGTGTGCTCCATGTTATGTGCCTTTTACTCTCTTGGGATTCAGATCTGCTATGCATATGCAAAATAAAAGACAGATATTTACAATCTGTTTTTAGGATGTATTAGAGGTTAATGACAGAGTCCTGGTCTTGTACGTGTTTTATTCTTTCTGTAGCTACAGAAGCATTGAAGGAGAGAAAGTATTACTGGTAGAAAACAAATATAGAACTTCATGTTTGAGAAGTGGCACCCTAATTAATGAGCTCTGACAGTTTGATTTTTAATAGCATATTTGTAGATATTTGAGGCTAAGTAGCTATGCTTCCACTTATCCTAAAGAGAGCCATTGCTTCTCTGGCAGAATGATAGTGTAGAATTCTTTGTAAAAAATAAATAATTTAATGTACAGTTTTAAAAATTTCATTATTTTATTTTCAACTAACAAGCAGTACATTATACATTCAATCTGTTCATATAAGGTAATATATTTCTTGCAGTTACATCTATTCATATATGCTTATTCTCAGAAAATGATTATATTACAATTCTTAATCTAGGAAGAGAAATGAAAGGGTCCAGGCATTTGACTCATATATATTGATTAATCCTACATAGCAGGGGGAGCTGAGGACTTCTCTGATAAAACTCTCCCAGGCCAGGCAAGGTGGCTCATGTCTGTAATTCCAGCACTTTGGGAGGCCGAGGAGGGCAGATCACGAAGTCAAAAGATCGAGACCATCCTGGTCAACCTGGTGAAACCCTGTCTCTACTAAAAATACAAAAATTAGCTGGGTGTGGTGGCCTGCACCTGTAGTCCCAGCTACTCAGGTGGCTGAGCCAGGAGAATCGTGGAAATCTGGGAGGCGGAGGTTGTGGTGAGCAGAGATTGAGCCATTGCACTCTAGCCTTTGCAACAAGAGCAAAAGTCCATCTCAAAAACCAACAAACAAACAAACAAAAAAAACAAAAAAACTCTCCCTACAGTCTACTCTTGTCTTCCATTTGCTGCTAGAAATCATTTTGCTTGGTTTGCTGTTGCTTATTACATGGATTCACACTGGATCAGACTCTTGAGAGGTGGAGAAATGAGTTAGAAGACTTTTTTTCCCAGTTAATTTTTTTTTTTTAAATTGTACTTCAGGTCCGCATGTTCTCACTCATAGGTGGATGTTGAACAATGAGAACACATGGACACAGGGAGGGAAGCATCACACACTGGGGTCTGTATAGTCGTTTTTAAAAATTATTTCAAAACATGTCCTTTTTTAAAAAATGAGTAGCAAATATTTTCTTATTTAGTTAAAATCCTGTTTTTCTTTGTTTATTTTTCAAAGCTGTATTGTCATGAGAGAGCCAAGATTCTTCGAACGTATTTAACTACTAGAGGGAATGGCTCAGAATCCCAAGTATCAGCTTTAGTGCACGTAAGTTCCCTGGAACAAAACTTTAAATCTCCAAAGTTTTCTTTTCAAGTTGCCAAAGTAAGGTCAAGAAATCCACCAAATTTTTCTAGGGCTATTTCTCTCTCTCTCTCTCTCCTTACTCTCCAGGTTTATCATTATCATGTGTTGATATTAAGGTACATACTGAAGCAGACTTCTTTTGAGGACAGGTTTGGCAATATATACAGTACACTGAAGGGCCTGAAAAGTTAATAAACCTTTGCTGTAATACAATAAGGCAAAAGACAGTAATTTGGGTCTCGAAAGAGAGTTGTCAGTGATTATATTAAAGCTTTTACTTTTGTGCTAAAAGCAAGATGAATACAATTCAAATTCAAATTGCATAGGCTTTTAAAATATGGTTTGAAAACATGACAGTCACTTTGAATAGCCAGTTGATTTTTCCTTTTGACATGTAAACTAAAACATTCTGTCAGTTATTTTAAAAAGAGTGGTAATAAAAAAATTAGTATTGACTGCATGCCACTATTTCAGCCAATTTATGTCAAGATAATACAAAAATGGCACACAATATGTTTATCCATGTTTCAGCTGTTGACAGTTTGTTTCTGTTAGTCATTTTCTTATTAGGAATTTTAGTTCTTGTACATGAGTTTTAGTAAAATATAATAAAATGTAATATTCATCAATTGTGCTAGGCACTGTGCCACATGCTTTATGTGTACTATAGCATTTACTTTTCTTAATATTATTAATATTATCATATACATTTTATTGATGAAGAAATAGAGGCCCAAATAGGGTGAATAAATTGCCTTGGGGTTAACAGCTAATTAGTGGTAGATTTACAATTTATAGATTTGATATTTGGGGTAGGTTTTATGTTTATAATCACATTTCTCTGATACTATTGACCTTGATACATTCACTATGTCACATATCAAGCAAAAATACTGGTACATTTTCTAAAGTTTAACACAGGAAAAAGTGTTTTTCATACATTGTAATAGAAAGCTGAATTAAAAACCTCCAAATTGAATCTTTTTTATAATTGTATTTCATTATCAGATTGCAAAATTTTAAAAAGTCCTCACCCAAAGTCTTGCTGGTAAGAGTCTAATAGCATGTCATTTAAAGAAATGATTTTATAGGGTTAAGAAAAAACACTAGCCATTAATTCTATCCTGATTCAGAGGCTACAAAATGTAAGCCCTGAGCCCTTAAGGAATAACTTTTCTGATCATAGAATTTGATCATAAGAAATCTTAAACTCATATTAAACTTCTGAAAATGAGAATTTTTTTCTCTTGTTTTTTTCTTTTCTGACTAAAACCACACTTTTTAATTTTTTAAGAACAGGAAATTTAGAAAGTTATTAGTTTATAATATGGTATAATCATTTTACAGAATGTGGAGAGAAAATGTGGGCAGAGGAGAAGATACAACATTACAGTTTTTGTCACAGGATGGGCCAGGGAAGGTGAGAAGAGCAGTTTGTCCATCCAGCTGTGTCCAGCCATATATCTGCTCCATGGAATGCAACTTGGAAAATTAGCTTTGAGATCCACTGAAACTTATCTTGTCATAGAACACAGAGTATGTAAGGGTAGTTGTTATACCTAGAGGTAGATGTGGAAAATCGTTTATGAAGGAAACTATACTCATTTTGATACTTTGGTTCTAATTTGCCTCTTTAATTTATATATTCATTCCTTCAACAATCATTTTGTGAACTGGTAATACAAACATAAGCAAGAAAGAATCTTCTCCCTGTAAGAATTCACAGTCCAGCAAGAGATTATCTATATCTATCTATCTATCTATCTCTGTTTTTTTATTGAACAACAAAGCTACCATCCTTATAAGTTGAGAGAGTAAGGAGGAAGAATTGTCTTAGCTCTTTCTGGAGAAGGGTGGAGGCCAGGGAAGATTGCAAAGAGTTAATTTTTGCATGTGGTGCTGGATAAGGACGCAACTTTATTCTTTTGCATGTGGATGTCCAGTATTCCCAACACCATTTGTCAAAGAGACTGCCCTTTCCCAATTAAATAGTCTTGGTGCCCTTGTTTAAAATAATTTGACCATACACAATAAAAGACATTTCTGGGCTCTCTATTCTATTATATTGGTTTGTGTATCTATCTTATGCCAACACTATGTTATTTTCTTTACTGTAGCTTTGTAATGTGCTTTGAAATCAGAAGCGTGAGTATTCCAACTTTGCTCCTCTTTTCTAAAATTATCTTGGCTGTTTGGGATTCCTTGAGATTCCATGTGAATTTTAGAATGGGATTTTTTTCTATTTCTGCCAGGAAATCCCATTGGGATTTGGTAAGAATTACATTCAACTTGTAGATTGCTTTGGGTATTAAGAACATTTTAACAGTATCAGATCTTTCAATCTATCAGTATCAGATATAGTCCATTTATTTGTCTTCTTTAATTTCTTTAAGCAAGGTTTTCTGGTTTCCAGTGTATATCTTTCAACTTCTTGCTTAAATTTGTTCCTAATTATTTTATTATTATTTTGAGATAGGGTCTCACTCTGACACCTAGGCTGGATATAATACAGTGGCATGATCTCGGCTCACTGCAACCTCTGCCTCCCAGGTTCAAGTGATTCTCCCGCCTCAGCTTCCCAAGTAGCTGGGAATACAGACATGTGCCACCACACCTGGCTAATTTTTTGTATTTTTAGTACAGACGGGGTTTCACCACTTTGGCCAGGCTGGTCTTGAACTCTGGAGCTCAGGTGATCAGCCTGCCTTGACCTCCCAAAGTGCTGGGATTATAGGCATGAGCCACTGTGCCTGGCCAGTATTTTATTCTTTTTAGTGCTATTGGATAGGAAATTGTTTTCTTAATTTCAGGTTTTAGGTTGTTCATTGCTAGTGCATAGACACACAACTGATTTTTTTTGTGTTGATTTTGTATCCTCACACTTTGCTGAATTTGTTCATTATCGCTAAGGTTATTTGTTTGATTTTGTGCATGGAATATTTAGAGGTTTCTACATAGGGCCTATCCCAGTCTTAAAACAGAAAGTGCTATACCACAGGAAATCCCTTAGTCTTAGCAAAACTGAGATGGTTGGTCAGTCTAGGTGTTGTGGATCTGGTGGTAGAGAAACAGTGACTATTAGTAGCAGCACAATGCTTTTTATGAATTGAAATTTTGATTAAGAAATTTGTAGATTGGCTGGGCATGGTGGCTCACACCTGTAATCCCAGAACTTTGGGAGGCCAAGGCTGGTGGATCACCTGAGGTCAGGAGTTTGAGACCAGCCTGGCCAACATAATGAAATCTTGTCTCTACTAAACACACACACACACACACACACACACAGAGTTAGCTGTTGGGTGTGATTATGGTGCCTGTAATCCCAGCTATTTGGGAGGCTGAGGCAGGATAATTGCTTGAACCTGGGAGGCAGAAATTTCAATGATCTGAGATTGCACCATTGCACTCTAGCCTGGGCAACAAGAGTGAAACTCCATCTCTCAAAAAAAAAAAAAAAAAAAAAGCTAAAAGACATTTGTAGATTATATACAGTTGTAAGAAATAAAGCCTAGTAAGCCTATGTACCCTTTACTCGGTGGTAAAATAATGCAAAATTCTGATACAACATCACAACTGGGATATTGTTGGTATGGATAAAATCCACTGATCTTATTTAAATTTGACCAGTTTTACTTATATTCATGTATGTGTGTGTATTTAATTTTGTATAATTTTATCACATGTGTAGGTTCATGTATCCCTCACCACTTTCACAATACAGAACCATTGCAGCATTACTAGCCTCCCTCCAGTCATTGGTTCTTTGATAACTATACCTGCTTTGTTCTCATCCTTTCCTGACTGCTTTTTTCTCTCACCCCTACACAATTCTGTTTCTAAACCCTAGCAACCATTAATATGCCTTGCTTTTCTAAAATTTTATTACTTCAAAATATATGTATGAATATATAAATATATATGCATAAGTATATGTATGTGTATTTGAAATTATACAGTATATAATATTTTGGGATTAATTTTTTTCACCCAGCATAAACTCTGAAGATTTATCTAACTTGTTGGAAGTATCAATAGTTCGTTCTTTTCTGTTACTAATATTACATGGTATTGATGTACCATAGTTTGCTTACCATTTACTTGTAAAATAATATCAGAGTTTTAAATACTTTTTAACTATTAAAAATAAAACTGCAATGAACATTCATGTATAGGTTTTCTGTGTGGATATAAGTTTTCAGTTTTTTGTAATAAATACCCAAGAGTAAATGTCTGGGTTATATAGTAAGTACACATTTTATTTTGTAAGAAATTGCTTAACTTCTTAAGAGTGACTGCACCCTTTTACATTCCCTTTCATACATTTGAACAATGTATGAGTAATCCAGCTTCTCTGCATCCTTGCCAGCATTTAGCCTTGTCAGTAATTTTTATTTTAGCTATTCTCACAGATATGTAGTAGTATTTCATTGTCGTTTTAATTTGGATTTTCCTAATGGCTAAATTAGGAAAAATGCTGAACATTTTTTCATATACTTATTTATCATCTATATAACCTCTTTGGTGAAAGGTCAGTTTCTGTATCTTGACCATTTTCTAGTTGGATTGTTCACATTTTTTCTTTTACAATTGAGTGTTCAGAATTCTTTGTATATTTTGAATACTGTTCTTTTGTCAGACATGTGGTTTGCAAATCTTTTCTCCCAGTCTGTAGCTTGTCTTTTCATCCTATTTATATGGTCTTTCACAAGACCAGAATTTTTAACATTGATGAAGCTTCATTTAAAAAATTTTCCTCTTTGGATTGTCAGTTTGGTATAAAGTGTAAAAACTTCTTGCTTGATCCTGAATCCTGAAGATTTTTTTGTGCTTTGTTGACAAGTTTTATAGTTTCACATTTTAAATATAAGAGCATTATGTAGCTTGAAATTGGTTCTTTATAGGTGTGAGATGTAGGTTATGGTTCATTTTTCTGCCAATCATTTTCCAGCACTATTTGTTGAAAATTGAAAGCAAGTGAGTTACTTTCTGGATAGAATGGGGTTATATAGGCATTGGGCAAATACACCTGCTCAAGATGGGAGAAGTTGGCCAAAACAAAGGGGCTACAGGCCTCACACAAGTCCCAAATCTAACAGGGCAGTCATTAAACTTAAAGTTCCAAAATTACCTACTTTGACTTCATATCTCACATCCATATCATGCTGATGCAAGAGGTGGGCTCCCATGGCCTTGGACAGCTCCACCCCTGTGGCTTTGCAGAAACTGCCCCTGCCCCCAGTTGCTTTCACAGGCTGGCATGAGATTTTCTTTTCTATAACATTGTCAGGCTGCAAATTTTCCAAACTTTTATGCTCTGCCTCATTTGAAACACTTTGCTGCTTAGAAATTTGTTTTGCCTCATACCCTAAATCATCTCTCTCAAGTCCAATGTTCCACAAATCTTCAGGACAAGGGCACAATGCTACCAGTCTCTTTCTTTCTTTCTTTCTTTTTTTTTTTGGAGACGGAGTTTCGCTCTTGTTACCCAGGCTGGAGTGCAATGGCGCGATCTCGGCTCACGGCAACCTCCGCCTCCTGGGTTCAGGCAATTCTCCTGCCTCAGCCTCCCGAGTAGCTGGGATCACAGGCACACGCCACCATGCCCAGCTAATTTTTTTTGTATTTTTAGTAGAGACGGGGTTTCACCATGTTGACCAGGATGGTCTCGATCTCTTGATCTCGTGATTCACCCGCCTCGGCCTCCCAAACAGTCTCTTTCTTAAAATATAGCAAGAGTCACCTTTACCTCAGTTCCCAAGAAGTTCCTTATCTCCATCTGAGACCACCTAAGCCTGGACTTCATTGTCCATATCACTAACAGTATTTTGATCAAAGCCATTCAGCAAGTCTCTAGGAAGTTCCAAACTTTCCCACAACTTTCTCTCTTCTTCTGAGCCCTCCAAACTGTTCCAACCTCTGTGTGCTACCCAGTTCCAAAGTCAATTCCACATTTTTGGGTATCTTTATAGCAGCACCCCACTCTCCATGGTACCAATTTACTGTATTAGTTTGTTCTCATGCTGCTGCAAGAAAATACCTGAGATTGAGTAATTTATAAAGAAAGTATGTTTAATTGACTTATAGTTTCACTTGGCTGGGGAGGCTTCCGGAAACTGAAATTGATGGTGGAAGGCCATCACTGAGGGCCAAACCAATACCACGATATGGTCCCACAAATGTTTTAATATCTTGTGGTCTTAATCTAAACTTACAAGGTTTACCCAGAATAAAGAACATTCTATCACCACCAACTAGATTGTTTTTTATTAAGCATTATTTTTAAAGTAACCTACTGTATGGAGTTTGGCTGTGGTTCATCTGCATAAATGGTATTGATTGACAGCCTCAGGAAAAGGAACAGCCCTCCATTTTGTAAATATCAGCTTACAAATCTTTATAGTTACTGGTAGTTATACCAGAAAGCAGAGAAGGGAGAAAAAGCAATATCAAGGCTTTCTTTTTCTTCACAGGGTGAAGAGATGAGAGAATAAGTGCAAAAAGAGGAAATGCTAGACACTTATAAAACCATCAGGTCTTGTGACAACTTACTCGCTATGTTGAGAACAACATGGGGGAACCACCCCCAACATCCAATTACTTCCACCTGGTCTCTCCCTAAACACATGGGGATTATGGAGATTATAGAGATTATAATTCAAGGTGAGATTTGGGTGGGGACACAAAGCCTAATCATATGAGACTCCTAATGGCCATGGATGAGACTATTTTTCTACAGCTTTAAATAGGAGTGTGTGTGTTTTGTTACATGCTGAAAACATTAAGTGATTTCCAGCTCATAATTAATAGAGCAAGTTTTCAGTCAGAGACACATGCAACAGCTTTCTTAGCTGTATGTTTACTTTTCTTCTGTGATAATATATCCAGATACTGCAAGTGAGAGAGGATGCTGAAAGTCTTTTTCAATGAAAGTGATTTGGAACTATTAAACAAAAGGAATGTTTTCCAAAATGTTTCTTATAGAACACTAGTCCTTGAATATATTCCAAAGGAAAAATAGTGCTTTACCTATAAAAGTTTACAAAGGAATGAAACTCAAATATCTCTCTTGAGTGTTTACAATGCATGGGAACATATTAAGGATTCTAAATAATTCTGCCATAAAGAAACCTTTGGTTTTAACCTCAGCTTTTCTAACACTTGTCATAGATTTCTGGGTTTTAATACCACATGCTATTGTGTTACATCTGTGAGAAATGAAATTTCACTTTATTGTCACTACAATTGAACTTCCTAGTTTTGAATGCTGATTTCTGTGCTAAAAAGTCAGTAAAAAAGCATTTTTCACATGAGTAATATTGTTTTGCAGCACTTTAAGAATAGATAGAATAAAACGCATTTAGTCGTGTTTTCCCTTTTTATTCTTATTCCCTACTGCAGTTATTAGCAACCTTAGCATCAATAGGGTGAACATTAATTTGTACAGTTTTTCTGTCTTCTCCCTTAAAAATATCTTACATAATGTAAACTTCAGTTTTTTTTCTCCTTATGCTACCAAATTCACTTCATAAGTTTTGCACGTCCTTTTTTCTACTACTAATATTTTTATATTTTTCTGTAAAGACAATTTCTCACTCTTGGTGATAACCTCTCTTCAGGAAAATAATCTCAAGCCCTTTCTTCTACCTTCAGTTCCTCCATTTTGTTTTTATTTTTCTCTTCTGCAATTTGAACCTGAATCAGAGATAAAATATAAGAGAGAACTTGAGGTTGATGTCAGAAGTATTTCTAGTAGGGCCAAGAAAGCCTTTTTCTGGAAGGTGAGTGTGAGTCATAAAACCATGCACGAGTGGTAGATATGCCACAGGATGCCATTCATTTGTTTTTCATTTTTAACTTGAAGAAAAATTTGTGATTTTTACACTGGCATAGAAAATAAAAAGAAGCTTTGACTTATATTTAAAAAATGATCCTGCTTACTTGATATGTTATCATCTTTTATTATGCTTTGCATATAAACAAAAGTATTTTCTACTGTAGTTTTGCGATATAATGTTGTAAAAGTATGTTTGCCAAACACAATATTTGGAGTAAGTTGATATTTATTATCTGTTTCATCGGATACAAAAGGCTCTTGCCTTTTCTCCCTTCTCTGCTTTCTGGTATAACTACCAGTAACTATAAAGATTTGTGAGCTGATATTTACAAAATGGCGGGCTGTTCCTTTTCCTGAGGCTGTCAATCAATACCATTTATGCAGATGAACCACAGCCAAACTCCATACAGTAAGTTACTTTAAAAATAATGCTTAATAAAAAACAATCTAGTTGGTGGTGATAGAATGTTCTTTATTCTGGGTAAACCTTGTAAGTTTAGATTAAGACCACAAGATATTAAAACATTTGTGGGACCATATCGTGGTATTGGGTTGGCCCTCAAGAAATCAGAAGGTAACTGGTGTTCCAGGAGCTATTCAACCTAAAAATCTTAGTGTAGTTAGCTTTAATGAAGTAAGTTAAATTATCTGAGGCTGTGTTTTTAATATATAGCTACTAGCCACATGTGGATATTGAAATTAAAATTAATTAAAATAAACAAAACTAAGTAGTTCCTCATTCACACTAGCCACATTTCAAGTGCTCAATAGTCACATACTATGAGTGGCTACTGTGTTGGACAGTATAGATTGTAAAACATTTCCATCATTGTTGAAAGTTATAATGAAAAGGGCAAATCTGGAGGGCATTAATTTTCCTGTTTGTATATAAAGGACCAAAACCTAGAATTGCACCCTTAATTATCAGTCACTTCAGGTTATTTAGAGCAGTCTTTTTTTTTTTTTAGGAGAGAAACAGGAGAAGGAGAGAGAGAGAGAAACAGCTAACTCTCACACTGAGTGAGAGAATCCAGAAAGATGGAATCCAGGAGAGGAAAGCAGCTTCCACACTGAGTGGAAGGGAATAGAGAGATGCAGAGTTTAGGAGGGGAAGACAGGCTTCCATGAAGGGAGTGTACATGGAAGGGGACTCCAGAGGGAAAATCTAGGAGAGAGAAAGATGGCTTCCATAAAGGGAGAGTTCGTGGAAGGGGATCCAAATGTGGAGTCCCTATTTGGAGCAGTCTTAATTACTCAGATGTGAAATACTTTTCAGAACAATTGTATAATCTACTGAAAAAATATTGAATTGGGAGATAGGATAAGTGGAGTTTTTTTTTTTCCTTCCATAAACTCGTGTTTATGAGAAAATGATTTGACTTAAATTACTTTTACTTGTAGAAAACCAAACTATGAAACATGTGCAGAAAAGAGTTAACATAGGAAGCCTGACTACTATCCTTAGAAAGGGTACTTACAAAATTGGCCCTTGCCTGGCATCTGAAAACTTAGATTTCAAAAGAATTCCCACTATTTCCTCATGAGAGTGTCTCACTGTGCCAAGAATCCTTATACAAACAATACGGTTTGTGCTGAACTCCTCCTTTCTTACTGGGAGTCTGGAATTTGTGTATGTGCCAGGCAGAGGGTGCTTACTTGACTAGCCCCAAACTAAAATCTTGGTGCTGAGTCTCTAACAAGCTTCCCTGGTAGACATTTCACACTTGTCACAACTCATTATGGGGGAATTAAGCATGTCCTGTGTGGTTCCACTGGGAGAGAACTCGAGAAGCTCACTCCTGGTTTCTCCCAGACTTTACCCCATGTGCCTTTTCTCTTTGCTGATTTTTCAGTGTATCTTTTTACTGTAATAAATCATAGCCACAAATATGACTATATATTGAATTCTATGAATCCTTCTAGCAAATCACCAATCCCAGGGGTGGTCTTGGTGACCCTCAACACACCTCATAATTATGTTGAAGTCTAAAGTTTAAGAATAAGTTTGAATTCCAAACACAGTGCCATACACTTGTCAATTATTGTTAATAATAGTACTGAATCTGGCAAGGAAGAAAATCACACAAAATATTTATTCAAAAATACACAAAATAATATTGTTTAAAATAAAACTGAAAAGTGATATACTCCTGAATAAATTATATCTGACATTTTTAAGACATAATTGTAGTGTCATTTTATTTACATTAACCAGAGACACTGAATCTTAAAACTATATTAGGATTTGGGAAGGTATGACTTAGTGAAAAACAGAGAACATTATGCCCTTCTTGGACTTCTAAATATCTACAGGAACACTTCCAGAGCAGTCTGGAAAAGTAGGCTCGAATGGCTAAGATAAGAATTTCAGTGAAACAGAATAGCACTCATCCTTCCTTGGACCAAGTTTAAAGAAACTGAAAAGTCCTCTTTACACAATTCTCTGGATATGAATCTGTCTTTCTGCAACAGGTTTAAGTGACTCAAGACCTCAGAGGTGACATATCTGGGTGTTTCTTGACAGATACTGAGAAATATGACCTTGGCTTCCAGTGCTGGGAGTGAGAACAGAGCTGTCTCTTCTTTTATTTTAAAAGTCAAATTTATGAAGTATCTTCTTGTAGTGAATGCTCTCTTGGCTGAAACATCATAATCTTTACCTAAACATGAAAAGCTTTCTCTTTGCTATGCAATTCAGTCATATCCAAATTCCAAATGTCAAGTCACCCTCTTTTCTGATTTCCACCACCCATTTTACAACATGGCCCCAGGGAGGATATTTCCTTGGTTTCCTACAATGATGTCTGATGAAGGTACTTGTGCCTTTCTTCTTTTCTCTCCCCACCATATTCTTTCTCTCATACCTTTCTTTTTCCATTCACTAAGGTTCTTATTCAGATGACTAATTTCAAAGGTTTGGATCAAAACTGCCCCAGGCATCAGAGCTTTTGGGGGCCTAAGTTCGAGTACAAATTGTTTCTAGGGGATACCCAAAGGTTTTCTTTATGACCACAGTGACTTTGAAAAACATATCAAAAGAGAAAAAGAGAACAAGTATCAAACTTTATGGAGTATAAAATACATGAGGAATAAGATTGCAAATATATGGAACCAGATTGCTTGAATTTGAATTCTATCTTTTCTATTTATTTCTGTTTTACCTCAGGCAATTTACTTAACCACCCTGTGCCTTGATTTACTTATCTCTTAAAATGCAATAGCAACAGCATCTATTAATACCCCCCCAATTTTTTTTAATAGAGACAGGGTCTCACTCTGTCACCCAGGCTAGATGGAGTCAATGACACAATCATAGTTCACTGCAGTGTTGATCTCCTGGGCTCAAATGATCCTCCCACCTCAGTCTTCCAAGTAGCTGCGACTACAGGCATTTGCCACCATCCCTGGTTAATTTTTTTTTGTATAGATGGGGTCTCACTATATGGCCTAGTCTGGTTTAGACTCCTGGCCTCAAGTGATCCTTTTATCTTGGCTTCCCAAAGTGCTTGGATTGCAAGCATGGGCCACCACACCTGGCCACCATCCACCTTACTGAGATATTGTGAAGATTAAATGAATTAACTTATGTAAATTGCACAGAACACTTAGTAGGTGCTGTATAAATATGGTGACCAACTAATTGATCACCCAACCTGGGATGCATTTGAAGATAAAAAAGGGCATTATTAATAATGATACCAGAACAAGTATTACAGTAAGTGTTCAGTATTATTGTTTTTTAATTTTTACTTGAAAGATACTTATTTTCAAGTAGCAAAATCCTCTATGGATGGAAAACTCATTAATATAAACTTTCCTGCTAGTAAAATACAGAATATAGGAGAAAAAATGAATGTACCTCTGCGTTATAGGACTTGTGAAGATGAATTCAGTTGGGTCACATGAGCACATGCACACTGAGTTGTCAATCTTTGAGACTGGGGAAGCAATACTCATTGAGGACAGGAGTATGTTTTTATACTTGTTCAAAGTGCAGAGGGTAAGGACCAGAAAACCTTATTTGAAGGTGAAGTTAAGTTAGATTCATTAAGAGCCCATCAGTTATTAAAGCCACGAATGATAGCAAAGCAGGCATAAAGTACCTCCAGTGATTTGCCAAGCAGTTCTGGCCTTGCCACCTTTTGGTAATGCTTTCTCTAAAATTATTTTAAAACTATCAGGTAGTATATGATAATTGAATGATGTCACTTGTCGCTTGGTCAATATTGTTTCCTTCCAGAGTAGTTCAACCTCAGATATCACTTAAATATACTTCATTCTGATTATCATTTAACAGTGATGGCTACTATTTTTCTTTTCTTTCTCTCTAGTCTTCTCATACAGCTCACAGACCTTTCCTTGGCACTTGATAGAAGAGGCAGAGTAACTTTTCTTAGGTGGCATAATTCTTCAAAATGTATTCATTTTCAGGAACATGGTGATGTATGGTAATACACAAGCAGGGATCAGTAGTCCCAGAACTGAAGGAAGAATTGACAAATGTATCAAAGATGCCTAATCAAAATGTGTCCACACTCTGCTAAAGTCTGGTTGAGCAGAACTAACAACATCTTTTCTGTTTTCTTATTTTTAATATTTTTTGTTTTGAATACAGAGATGATATACAGAAGGAAATCAAACAAAACTGTTGACAAAAGAGGAGTTTGAGTGTTGCTAATGTTTGAAGATGAGTAATTGCCAAATGGGGAGGTTGAGTCCCAGAAAACAGTAGAGAATAAATAGCTTTATGAGATTTCAAAAACTAAATATTAACAAAAATATTAATTTGAAAAAACTCAAAATGTTAATGTTCACTTAGTAGCATTTCTTAATTTATAAAATTTTGATGCTATTGGGTAATCAAATGCATTTGTATCTATAAACCACCATTGTGGTTTATACAAATTTAGTTCTGCTTCAGGTAGAACTACTTCAGGTCAAATTATGCCTCGTTCTTAGCAAACAAAAACTACAGAAATTAGTAGTCTCTTATAACACAGTTCACAGCACTAATCATGTACCACAACTTGATGTTGACTGAGTCATTACTACATACAGAGGATATGGCATAAAATTTTCTACATGTTTTATAGGTACTTTTGCTTTTGATCCTCACAACAGCCCTATGAAGTAGGTAACATTGTCTCTGAGGTGCATGGAAGTGAATTTGTCTGAGTCTTAACAGCTAGTAAGTGAAGGAGACAATATTTAAACCTCAGAGCTCATGTTCATAACTCTTGCTCAATACTGACCTTGGCACCATTACCAGAACGAGATTTGATTCTAAACACATATCTTAGAGGAATGCTAAATGCCTAGTGATTTAATACATGGCACAATAAAAGCATTTAAAGGCAGGATACCACAAAATCCTCCTTTTGTTGAATCGATTCACAGGTCCAATGTGGATTTAAAATAACTTGTGTGTGTTTATGAGTATTTATATATTATTTGTGTCAGCCAGAAATAGGATGAAGTATTAAGTATCAGGACCAAAGCCAAGTAAATTGAAGATGTCAGAAATAAGTAAAAGCTCAGGATGAATTACTCCATTTCTTTAGGGTACTCTTGGGTATTTATGGAGGATGTTTCCAATCCAGTTCTCAAAGCAATAAACTCTATGTAAGTCATCAAATAAATAAATGTAGCACTGTATAACCTTTATTCTGTATTGTCTAAGAAATGGTTTTCTTTCAGAGAAGCAAGCCTTTTACATTTGACACTAGACTGTAGTTTATTGCTGTAAAACTGAGCTGTTCTATTTAGGCTTAACAATAAAAGGTGTATTCTTAGATAAGCAGGTATTTTAGCTGATTAGGTGGTCTAAAACTGTGGATTTAGAACCATTCCTTTCATGCAATTATTCCTGTCTATTGTCTATCACAGATGAAAGCAGAGCTGCTCTGGATGAGAAGAGAAAGATGCGGAGGCCCAGGATTGCAGCAGCTGGGTTGTCTATTGACCTGTGTACTTAGGTAGCCCCAAGGGTACTGGTATTACATGACTAGGGCTCCCCATACCACACTCTGAAAGCCACTGTTCTAAAAGTCAAACCCAAGAAAATGTATGCAAACAGAAATCAAATTTAAATTAAGAGGATTATAACATTTAAGGAGATTGAATTTTAAATAACTTTGTTAAGGACTCTATTTTGCTGGATTTGTATATATTCCCAGATGGAAGCTCTATGTTCCTAAAGAGAGAATCAAATTATCAATGAAAAAAAAAAACACCTTGTTATTTTAACCTCTTCTTGAAGAAGTAATAGTCCTGTGTTGCTTAATAGACATTACTTAAACGAATCTTCATTATTGCTGAGGTGTCAGATCTCCATCTGCATTTTATGGAAGATCAAACAAAGAAATTAACTGGAAAATCTGTGGAAGTACAACTCCACCTCTGACTCCTTGGGATGTTGAACTGGGAGACTTTTGCAGCCTCCTAGGACCTTGGCTTCCTAATATAAACATAGAAGATCATACATACTTTGTACTTAAAACTTGTGACTTCTTGTACTTTTTTAAAGAAAGGGATTATTGAATCAACTAGTGTATCAAACTTTCTAAGGTCTCAAAAGTGAGTTCAATTGTGACTGTTTTTAATTTATATGAAGAGTATGTGAAGGTGGTGCAAATTCAGGGAAAAAGAAAGTTTTCTTTAGTTGTAATGACTCACAGGGAGGACCATTGTATGATTATATCATTATAAACTAAAATTCTGTACCAGGGTGGTGTTATGGGACAGTGCAATGTCCCTTTGTCTCATAATCTTGGAGAAGATTCTGTAGTTGAGATCAAAAGACTAATATTCCACATTTTGAGTTTAGAGAGCCACCGCTTTTTAGCAGGCTGCTTGAGCAGCCAACTTCTTCAGCTCAGTTTTCTCCCTTATAAAATAGTATTTACCTCATGAGTTTATTATGAGGGTAAATGAGTTAAAACAGTAAAGTGCTAAGAACAATATTTGGCACATAAGAGCTCCATGAAATTTAATCATCATCATTGTGAACATTAGTTTTCTTGAGGTTATTATGGACTTCTAATTTAGGAGACAACTCTATTACAAGCTTGATGATGGCAGGGACTTGTGTGATATTTCCTGTGTTACCCCTAATAGTTAATATCGTGCTTTTATAAAGGTTGGTTCAATACATATTTCTTGCAAATAAACAATTTTGGTATTTAATGAGTTTTCAGTTATAACAATTCATTTTTAAAATTGTGTTTCATAAAACTGAATGGTTTTAAATATTACGTAACAGCCCAAATCACAAGCTTGATGATATCTACACATCACATATATATATGTTAATATATACTCAAGGATATGTGTACTTATACACACACATACACAAACACACACACATACACACAGAGACTATACACATAATCAGATAATAAATAGTAAGTACACTATCTTCAAGGACACATAGCACATCTACAAAAGTTAACCTTGGCTGGATATAATGGCTCAGCCCTGTGGTCCCAGCATTTTGGGTGGCTGAAGTGGGAAGATTGTTTGAGTCCAGGGATTCACGACCAGCCTGGTCAACATAGTGAGACCTTATCTTTATAAAAAACACAAAATTAGCCATGCATGGTGGCTTGCATCTGTAGTTCTATCTACTTGGGAAGCTAAGGTGAGAAGATCTCTTGAGCTTGGGTGATTGAGGCTGCAGTGAGCCTAGATCGTGCCACTGCAGGACAGCATGGGCAACAAAGACCATCCCCCTACTTCCAAAAACAAACAAACAAAAAAAACAAAACAGTCTATATTAGGCTAAAATAAATTCCCAGTGAATCCCAAATAATAAAATGAATTTCTCATTTGCTGAACATAATATAATAAAATTGAAACTAATAAGAAAAAAATAGTTAAAACTCCAAAATGTTTGGAAAGTAAAAAGAAACTTCTAAATAATTGATTACAGAAGAAATTAAGAAATCACAAAAAAAGCACAACAAATTGAAAATTGTGAAGTACTTGAAGCATTTTGTAGGGAAGTTCATAAAGCAGTACAGTTTAGCAGTACCCAAGTGAATTTATGTATATAAAATAAAATAAAATAAAATGAGGAGCTTGAAAGTAATGTCAAGTTTTTTCTACAGAACCAAATAAAGAAAAAGAAAAACAGTGAATCCGACCAAAGCAGAAAGGAGGGAATAATAAAAGATAAGAGAAGAAATTAAATAAATAGGAAGCAATTGTGATTACTAACAAGACTAACAACTAGTTCAAAGAAAAGAAAGCACCAATAAATTAGACAAACATCTGGAAAACTGATCAAGTGAAAGGCAAAGAAAGAAAAGAAAATATTATGAGGAACATGGGGCCAAATGATAGATATAATCTCTTTTACCCTCCAAGTCCAAAGAGAACATTATGATCAATTTTGTGACTATGTTTAGATATATTGGGTTATTTAAAATAAAATATACCAAAACTGATGTAAGGAAAAAAGTAGTGACCACGAATAGACCAATAACTATTAAAACATTTAATTGGTAATTACAATTCACACCCACTTACTTCTCTCCACAAATGCACCAAGCCCAAAGAGTTCTAGCAGGGAGTTTTGCAAGCCCCTTTAACCTACAGATAATTTTGACTTTATGCTATGTTCCCAGAAGATAAAAGAAGTAAAATTGCTTAATCCATTTTTTGAAGGTAGTGAAACTCTATAATCTTGATATCCAAACTTATAAGGAGAGCATAATAAGAAAACAGTCTAACTTAATTTATAAATGCCAATGAGAAATTAAAATAATCTCTTTCTCTGGGTCAGTCTTCCAAGAGAATTGTTAGGCAAATTAAATTCAGCAGTAACATTATAAATGGTATTTATTTTTGTATAGATCAATTGTTCCACAATAGAAAATATATTTAAGTATTCATCACATTAATAGACAAGTGATGATAAACATAGTCGTCTCAATTCAAGAAAAACATTCAATGACATTCACTGTCGTTTTATAATAAAAGCAATTAGCAAACTATTAGTGAACTAGGGATAAAAAATATGATTTGTCTTCCTCAAAATTAGTGTCATCACATACTATTCATGTTGTGTTGGTAGTTTTCATAATCACAATAAGAGAGGGAAAGGGCATAAGAGATGTATATATTAAACAAAAAAAGACAAAATTGTAATTTTTCAGATGATATGATTTTCCATGAAAAATGTGCAAAACAATCTCCAGACAATATTCAAAATAATAAGAATGTCCAGCTGGTTCAGGGAAGATACAATTTATGTATAAAATCATAATATTTCTATAAAAATCAGTAAATAGTTGAAAATGTTATAGAATTTTTTTTTATTGTACTTTAAGTTCTTGGGTACATGTGCAGATCTTGCAGGACTGTTGCATAGGTATGCACATGCCATGGTGGTTTGCTGTCTCCATTCCTCTGTCACCTACATCAGGCATTTCTCCCAATGTTATCCCCTGCTGTCTTTCTCCTAGCTCCCCACACCCTAGCAGACCCAGTGTGTTATGTTCCCCTCACTGTGCCCATGTGTTCTCATTGTTTACCACCTAGCTATGAGTGAGTACATATGGTGATT